TCAATGAACGCTCAACCATTGCTTGCATATTATTTTTGCAGTCAGCGATTTCTAGCAATTGCCCTGGACAGCCATTCACCGCCAACTCCTCTTCTTGGCAAGACACCACATACTACCGTATCCCTCCCCTATCTCTAACCTTCCGTAGCGCCACCCTGTGCCTCTTGAAAAGCTCCTCACTCCTAACCTTTCTTATGTCGTTACCTCCTACACTAAGACATACTGCTGGCTTGGTACCCTTCCTTGACAAAACCCTATCTATCCACTCAGCTACATGCCCTATCCCAGCCCCAGGAAAACACACCCTAATCCTACGTTTTCTATCTCTTGCACAAAAGGTCATATCTCAGAACCTCACCTGGCTGTTCCCAACTACCACAACCTTACCACTGGGCAGTGATTGAACAGGTGCTCTTTTCTCTCCTGTCACAACACCACCCTGCCTCTTCTCTTCCTCGTCCTGCCTCTTCTCCTCCTCGCCAGCTTCCTCCAACACTTGGAAGTGTTACTGCATTCCGCACCCTGGTCAGCTTTCCTGAGTCTGACCCTAGTCCCGTTGGAGACAACCACTCTCCACGTCTGCTCCTCCCGACCCTCCTTCGCAGGTGTCCAGCTAGGCAGGACACTACCTGAAGGAGTTCAGTCCTAAGGACTTCGTTAGCCTCTTTAAACCGTCTATCTATCTCCTCAAATGCTCCAGCTGACGTAACAGAGTGGCCAGGGGGTCGTCTTTTCTCACACACCATCCCTCTTCCCCCACAACACAACGATCCACGGCGGCCATTTCCTATGGTCACTAACACGAGCACTTAGGGCACGTCCTTCTCCAAGCTAGGTCAGACAACAACAACACACGTCACCATCAACAGCAGACAACAACACACGTCACCACCAACAACAGACAACAATAACACACGTCACCATCAACACCAGACAACAACACACGTCACCATCAACACCAGACAACAACACACGTCACCACCAACAACAGACAACAATAACACACGTCACCATCAACACCAGACAACAACACACGTCACCACCAACACTACACAACAACAACACATGTTACCATCAACACCATGCAAAAGCACATGTCACCATTAACACCATACAACAAAACACACGTCACCATCGTTAATTGCCAGACAACAACACACGTCACCATCAACACCATGCAACAACACATTAATGTCATCATTAACACCAGGCAATGCAACACACGTCACCAATTAAACACCAGACAACAATAACACACGTCACCATCAACACCATGCAAAGCACATGTCACCATTAACACCATACAAACAACACACACGTCACCATCAAACACCAGAGCCAACAACACACGTCACCATCAACACCATGCAACAACACACGCCACTACAACACCAGGGCAACAACACACGTGACCATCAATACTATACAAACAACATACGTCACCATAACACCAGGCAACAACACACGTCACTATCAACACCATACAACACACGTCACCATCAACACCATACAACAACACACGTCACCATTAACACCAGGCAACACCACACGTCACTATCAACACCATACAACATACGCCACCATCAACACCATACAACAACACATGTTACCATCAACACCAGACACTAACACATGTCACCATCAACACCAGACAATAACACATGTCACCACCAACACCATACAACAACACACGTCACCATCAACATCATACAACAACACACGTCACCATCAACACCATACAACAATAACACACATCACTATCAACACCATACAACACACATCACATCAACACCATGCAACAACACATGTTACCATCAACACCAGACTCTAACACATGTCTTCATGAAAACCATACAACAACACACATCACCATCAACACAAGACAGCATTTCATGTCACCATCAATACCATACAACAACACACGTCACCATCAGCACCATACACCAACACAATTCACCATAAACACCAAACAGCAACACGTCACCATCAACACCATACAACAACACACGTCACCATCAACACTATACAATAACACACGTCACCATCAACACCAGACAATAACACATGTCACCATCAACACCAGACAATAACACATGTCACCATCAGCACCCATACACCAACACAATCCACCATAAACACCAAACAGCAACACGTCACCATCAACACCATACAAATTCGAACACACGTCACCATCAACACTATACAATAACACACGTCACCATCAACACCAGACAATAACACACATGTCACCATCAACACCAGACAATAACACATGTCACCATCAACACCATACAACAACACATGTCACATCAACACCATACAACAAAAATACACATCACTATCAACACCATACAACACACGTCACCATCAACACCATACAACAACACACGTCACCATTAACACCAGGCAACACCGCACGTCACTATCAACACCATACAACATACGTCACCATCAACACCATACAACAACCCACATCACCATCAACACAAGACAGCAATTCATGTCACCATCAATACCATACAACAACACACGTCACCATCAGCACCATACACCAACACAATTCACCATAAACACCAAACAGCAACACGCCACCATCAACACCATACAACAACACACGTCACCATCAACACTATACAATAACACAAGTCACCATCAACACCGTACAACAACACAAGGTCACCATTAACACCTTAAACCAACACACGTCACCATCAACACCAAACAATAACACACGTCACCATCAACACCAATGAACACCACACGTCACCATCAACAGCAGAGAGCAACACACATCACCATCAACACCACACAACAACTCACGTCACCATTAACACCACACAACAACATATGTTACCATCAACATCAGTCAACACCACACGTCACCATTAACTCCATACAACAACACACATCACTATCAACACCAGAGAACACACGTCACCATTAACACCAGACAGCAGCACATGTCACCATCAACACCAGACAACAACACTCGTCACCATAAACACCAGTCAACAACACACGTCACCATCAACACCATACAATAACACACGTCACCATCAACACCACACAACAACAACACATGATACCATCAACACCAGACAATAACACACGTCACCAACAACACCATGCAACAACACAAGTTGCCATCAACAGCAGAGAGCAACACACGTCAACACCAACAAAAGACAACAATAACACACGTCACCATTAACACCATGCAAAAACACAAGTCACCATTAACACCATACAACAACAACACACGTCACCATCAACACCAGACAATAACACTCATCACTATCAACACCACACAACAACACACGTTACCATCAACACCTGTCAACACCACACGTCATCATTAACACCAGGCAACAACACACGTAACCATCAACACCATACAACAACATACGTCACCATTAACACCAGGCAACAACACACGTCACTATCAACACCATACAACACACGTCACCATCAACACCATACAACAACACACGCCGTAACACCAGACAGCAGCACATGTCACCATCAACATCAGACAACAACACTCGTTACCATTAACACCAGTCAACAATACACGTCGTTACCATCAACACCAGACAACAACACATGTCATCATCAACAACACAACTTGTCATACCATCAACACCAGACAACAACACATGTCATCATCAACACCACACAAAAACTACTTGTCACCATCAACACCAGAAAGCAACACACGTCACCATCAACACCAGAAAACAACACACGTCACCATCAACATCTGGCAACAACAACACACGTCAATATCAACACCAGACAACAACAACACACGTCACCACCAACACCAGAAAACAACACACATCACCATCAACACCAGTCAACAACATACGTCACCATCAACACCACACAAAAACAACTTGTTACCATCAACACCAGCCAACAACAAACGTCACTATTAACACCAAAGAACAACACACGTTACCAGCAACACCAGACAACAACATGTCACTATCAACACCAGACACCAACACACGTCACCATCAACACCATACAACAACATGTCATTATCAACACCGGACAACAACACACGTCACCATTAACACTAGACAACATAAACACATGTCACTATCAACACCAGACAACATCATACGTCACCATCAACACCAGTCACCCCTTGTATCTAACACTCAAAATTTTGTAATTTCCAGGTAGGAAAAAATTCTGTACACATAAATTTTATCAACTTCAAAACTTTCTTGATAAAATTAAGACTTCTTTTCTGTGAAGCCTCTGGGGGACTGTGCAGCTATAGTTTTGAACATTTTATGGTCATTAAACTTGGGGGAGAACTCGTCAAGTAGCCTGACGGGAGTTTTGGCTCTCTGAACATTATAGGAGGGTTCGCTTCACTTAACCTTGACACTGACAGTCTAGTGTTTCTAGACTTTCTATATGCAACCTTCACTTCGTTGAAAAGTTTGCATTTGATGAGAATACCATTGAGTTGCTATTTTTCTATATATCGTGACAATTAACTGTAAGAAGATCTGTTTTATGCGTACTTAAAATAATCTAGTGATGGTGTTTTCTCACAAGGGTCTTGGGGAGAGTCGTCGTGCCACCCCATAAATCCCGGGTAGGGCGGCGGTGATAGTTGAATCAAGGCGACGACTGTTCCAAATAGGCCATAAAGTGGGTGTAACCCTCTTGGGGGTCGTCAGGGCGATCAGCCCTGTTCTATTTTGGCCTCCAGCACTGCATCTTGAGGTGTACGCCCTGGGGAAGTCATCAGGGCGATCAACCAGGTCCTAACACGGGGCATCCAACCCCACTCTTTGTGGACCCTGACTAGTCGTAACCCTTGAGGGAATCGCCAAGGCTATCTGCTGAGCCTTGATCCCTACTTCGGTTTTCGGCCCTGTATTTCTTAAATCATCTATGTTAATAACCCTCAAGAGTGGTCGTTGAGGCTATTGGTCATACACCGAGCCATAGCTCTCCAAATATACTGTAACCCTCAGGAGTCGCCAAGGTAATCAGCCAAGCCCTGCTCCAGCCTCCAACCCAGCAGCAGACCTGGACCCTGAGTTCTCGCCCGATAATCCTCACACTTGACACAGATTAAACAGATGTTCTCTTCTTCAGTGGGCTGTAACTGCAGGTAAAGCGTGCCTTTTTTTAGAGCTTCCCATGTTTGCCATCCTCTCACTTGGTGTTGCGGATTATGAAACATGAGTGAGTTTTTTATCTATTCAATAATTATTAATCCAGAGGCTAAGGAAAAAATCGTGCATTTTTTTTTACTAAAGCAACATACTTTGCCATCTGATAGTAGGACCCATGACAAACGTTTTAAAGACTGGAGGCAATCGGTATCTGCCTGAGGGTGGCCGTGGCAGCCATATTCAAAATGGCCGCAACTTCACTTTAAAATACGTAATATCTCAGCTCCTATTGCAGTTAGACCTTTCATTTTTGTAGCATTACGTATGTTTTCAGATCCAAGGAATCTACTAGTAATATTGATATTGTTGTACGATGTGTCATTCATACGCATATCGAAATTTACAGGTAAAATGGGGACTTTTTGTTACCTCAATGTGACCAATTCTTGCATTATGATAACACATGTAGCAGATATACTCTCACTTCAAATACATACAAAACACAATAAATGTAACAAGCCCACATTAATGTTTCAGTTACTTGTTATACAGGAATAACTAGCATTCGAAATGTGAATATGTTTGTCGGATTTTGTACAAGCTTGTGACACAGTTTTTCTTTCCTTTTCAGATAATCTTAATGATGTAATATGACCATGGCCGAGAAAAGGACATTTAGAGTGGTGAGAGGAGACACTGGAGGTAGCACGAGTAAATTTTCACCTGTGTTTGGTAGAATAGCATCTGTTAGGTCAGGTCTTTCTGGTTTCTCTAGTTAGGATGTTTCGTTGGGTTTCGTTTCGTTAGTTTTTTGGGTTTGTATCCCACAATTTCCCTCTACTTCAAAGCCCTGTCCACTTTGTGCACCCAATATTGTTGGTAATTGTGGGAGGGGGGGGTAATATCTCCATAAAGGCTTATTTGCGACGGAAATGAAGGCCATATTCGTTTGAAACGCCACAAAATGCATAAGAAAACCCTGTTTTTTTTAATAGTTTCCGCGTTCGATGTTTTCCGAATCTTTAGTTTCTTGTAAATGTTAAATGAGTGATTTTTACCTAATTTAATTTTGTTTACCTTTTCATTCACAATAAATGCCCAGTTCACGAACGTTGCTTAGTGAGACGAAGGAGCAAACTTTGTATGTAAAACCAACAAAGTCTAACAAAACTATTGAGGTCCTTATGATGCCATGGTAGTGTCCCCTTTTCTCACATGGAGGTCCTGGGTATTATTTGTATATTGAGGTCCGCGTGAATTTGGACATATAACGGTTTATTGAAAAAGTTCTGCAGCCCGAAGGCTGAAATATACATTGGACATAAATGACTTATTACATACATTGGTGTGTGTGTGTGCGTGTGTGTTGCACAAAGGGTGGTGAAAAGCGTCCAGTGTGGCAGCACTTTTTAGTGTTAAGGTACAAGCACTGCTAGCTCCCTCTCGCTTTCAGTTGCAGCCGCTGGCTAGCCCTCGTGGCGAATAGGGAAGCAACTTGCATAAGTCTTCCCCAGCCAGTACACAGCCTCTTCATCACCAAGACTCCTGCTGTGCCTCCTCGTGGCAACACACGGTAACTGGGTGCCTTGTGGGGCCAGGCTAGACCAACAGGGGATCTCGGAGTAGCAGTGGCCCCCAGAGGAACGGCGCATAGGCCCACTGGCATGTGGACACGTTCTGGCGCCTACCAGCCATTGCCCCGCTGCCTTGCTGTTTAACCTTGGTAGGTATAAGGCTACGGGAGTAGACCCCGAACGAAAAATCTGCGGTGGAGCCCCGGATCAGACAGACATAATTACAGAGTCCCAACAAGACCCCAACGACTATACGGGCGGACGAAGGCAATGCCTGATGGACAGGCTACTAAGGCGAAACCCAACAAATTGGGCTATCGGTAGTTCATTGCAACTCTCCCTCTCCCAGCCGTTGCAACACTTGCACCACTAAATCAGGAAAAGGGAGAGCCAAGATGTGTGGTTGCAGCCTGCTCTCCTGCCTCACCACATAAATCAACTCACGCGCAGTCATCATCCAGCTCATCTTATCTCTCATCATCATCAAAACCCCTATACCCGTAAAAGTCCAATGGCGACGGACGAGTGGCGACGGGGACAGGCAGATATGACTGCTGGGAGTCTCTAGTCACAACTCTGCACATGGGCGGCAAAGATAAAATGGTCGTTTATGCACTGGGATCTAGGCAGCAGTCTGTACGACTAAGCAGCCCTTTCGAGGGGCCACTCTGCTCACCCCACACGGGGAGGGGGCTAGAAAAGGTGCCCTAAACATAGCGTGCCTAAAAAAAAAAAAAAGTGACTGGGCAACCGAACCCAGATAGGCATCAACGCCGGAAAGACGCTGCCACCGCCCCTAGATGCAGCCCTCCACATGTGCAACGAACGTGGACGACCCTGCGGGTCCCGTACCGGCCTCTTTATTCACCCCCGAACTCACCAACTTAGGTGACATCCCTAATAACTCATATCATTGTATCACAGCTGGATGATCGTCATACTCGATTCCGAGTGACAGCAAAGTAATAGTAGTTTGAATTGAAACAGTTTTTAGCCAGAAAAACACAGATACTGAGTGGATAATAATAACAATATTAACATGGCTGAGCCAGTGTGTGTGTGTCATAGCATGATAGTTTGCACACAACTACAGGAAAGGAAGGGCTGATAATTATACAGTAAATACTGGATGAAAATCAGTGTACCCTCGAGGCCGACAGTGTAGGGGTGATGGTGGGGACCCATACACTGTGTCCTGTTGTAGCTTAACGTCACCAGATAATGAAACATCATAATTCCTCAAGATGTGAAAGACTCAAGGTATACAATATTAACCTAATCATTGTTAAGTTAACCCACATTACGATCTTAAAGATACGACCATCATCAGGTTTTGCTTACTTACTATTAATGATGTAAAATGTGATAACCTTTTCAAGCATTATAACATGACATTAATGACAGGTCTGACATATAAAAAAAGCTACCGGTACAATCAATATGTAATTCCAAACAATAACACTACATATGGCATCACGAAAATTGTGACCAAGTCCCAGTTTTCTGATCTGACTTTCTGCCTCATTTACACACAATTGCAGGGTCTCAAGTGTTTCTCTTACTATTGACAACACAACATGCACATGTTATTATTATTATTATTATTATTATTATTATTATTATTATTATTATTATTATTATTATTATTATTATTATTATTATTATTATTATTATTATTGTTGTTGTTGTTGTTGTTGTTGTTGTTGTTGTTGTTGTTGTTGTTGTTGTTGTTGTTGTTGTTGTTGTTGTTGTTGTTGTTGTTGTTGTTGTTGTTGTTGTTGTTGTTGTTGTTGTTGATATTGTTGTTGTTGTTGTTGTTGTTGTTGTTGTTGTTGTTGTTGTTGTTGTTGTTGTTTGTTGTTGTTGTTGTTGTTGTTGTTGTTGTTGTTGTTGCCTGTTGTTGGTGTTGTTGTTAATGTTGTTGTTGTTGTTGTTGTTGTTGTTGTTGTTTATTTTATTTTATTTGTTATTATAAATTTCATTTTCTATGAGCTATTATTATTATTATTATTATTTATTATTATTAATTATTATTATTATTACATTTTCGCCCCCCGGGCCCCGATGTGGGCCAGTGACCTAGGCCCGGGTGGGCTAATCCCCGGAAAAAAAAAAAAACATAATGTGGAAACTTGTGTGGTAACGTTTCTCTATACATTGACAATAAGGGAGAAAAGCAACCAAATATTGTTGTCTACAGTATTAGTGTCAGGGTTTCTTTTTTATTATAATTTCTGCTTGATTTCACATTAAGGTTTTGTGTATAAAGTCGCCAGGCGTGAATAGCTCCTTGGGACACTCCCGGCAACTATACTAGGCGGCGTGTTGCTTAACCCTATAGGTTCAAAATCGAAACTGAACCAAGGGACACAGGGTTCTCTCCAGCGGTTCTTTCAGATTACCGAGGGTACGGAATTTTTAAGGTGACTGTATCCCAAGCTGCTGCTAGTGATAAGAACAGAGATGTTGCTTTGTTAAATAACACAGATATTGCTTTAGCATTGCTGCACTTTTGTACCACAATGCGCTTAAGTAAGCTGTGGGCTCGTGTTGGTGTCGGAGACAGAATACGATATAGCCCAGCCCATACTCTGGCAGAGAAGATCACTGCTGATGTTTACTCAGTTCACCCACCTATCCATACCCTTACTAGGTGTGATATAACCAGTAATTTTGAGACAAAAGCTATGGAATTGAAGATAGAGAATATCATGGACTACCTTGGAGACTTGGGAAGCTCGGGGCAGATATGGAGGAAGTATTTTCCATGGTCATTTTGTAAGAACATGGAAAAATGCCACCATCGAGTACGTCAACCAGGGGTCATCTGCTGCTTACGTTTCATGCAACACATAGCCTACAATACTTAACTGTTTAAGAAGGCAGGTGTTGTTGTATGGCTATCAGGACATTAGTCGGGTATTGGTGGTAGCCATTTTCTCAAAAGACATTGTGCCTGATGATCTGGTGCAAAGTCACAACTGTATGCCCTGATCATCTAAATCTTGTATATGCCACGAAAAAAAGGAATTATGCTGTAAGTTCTGCAAATGTTACTCACCAGATACTACTGTAAAAATCTTTTGTGGTAGCCTAACAATTATGAAGGGTATAGATTACTTTTTTTTTAAACATGGCCTCCAGCCTCCCCTAATAGCCACACCTTCGCCGCCATTTTATTACTTTAATATTAAATATCCTAATACATAAGTAGCTATCCTAGCTGTGTTGAATTAGTTGAGCCGCAGATCTATGCGGCATTCAGTGACTGTAGTAGCCTCATAGTCAATATCTGCAGCAGTTGTCGGCATTGGGGCAGAAGCTCTCGTTCCCCTGAGGCAGAGCAAAGCCGACCAAAGGAGAGAAAAAGACAGTCGACATCTCAT